CTACATTAATGAATAGCCCCATAAGAGCTAATACCAGCTAGAGGCTACTCATCTCTATTTCAGTAGTTTTAAAGGTATATATTTTTTAATTTATGTATTGATTTTTAGAGGGAGGGGAAAGGATGGAGAGAGGGAGAGAAACATCAGTGTGAGGGAGAAACATAAATCAGTTGCCTCTCGCACACTCAACCAGGGCTGAACCATCAACCCAAGCATGCACACTGACTGGGAATGAACCCACAACCTTTAGGTTTACTGCCAATGACACTCAACCAAGTGGGCCACACAGGCCAGGGCTAAAAGTGTTCTTAACCCTGAAGCAACTAGTATTAGTCTAACGATAAGTGTTTTAGGCAGTTATGATTTGGGAATTAGAATAGAGTGCTCACAGGGCATACCTTAAGAACTTGCTGTGGTTGGCTATCTCAGAAATGACAGAAGGAGAATGGGGGAGTGGGATGTCTTCAAATGTCCAGTAGGAAGATGACAGGCACTTCTCTCAAGTGGTTATGATTCTTCGGTGTTGTGGCTTGGTGAGGGGCAGCTTAAAAATGCCAGAGACAACTTTGGCTTGAAGAAATGCTTCTCAAAGTGTGGTCTCTGGTGCATATGGTGATTCTGTGGCATGAAGAATCTTTGAAAGTTTCACTCACTTCATAATGATGAGGCATTGTTCTAACTGTATCTAGTCTTAGGCCTGATTCAAAATGATGATGATGAAAGTAGCAATGTTGACCATAACTTTGACTGAAGACTTATACTCTGTGCCAGGCATGTTTTTGAACACTTTGTATACATTATCTAGCCTCATCCTCACAATAACTCTCTGAAGTAGGTACCATTGTTGTCTTCATTTTACAGAAGAGAAAACTGAGGCACAAAAATGAGAAACATGACCAAGGTCACAAAGTTAGTGGCGAAGCCAGGGTTTAAATCATGGTCTAACTCCAAAATACATGTTTTTTATTTCGTTTTTTAAAGATTTTATTTATTTATTTTTAGAGAGAGAAGGGAAGGAGAAAAAGATCAATGTGTGGTTGCCTCTCACACACCCCCTACTGAGGACCTGGCCTGCAGTACAGGCATGTGCCCTGACTGGGAATCAAACTCTCAAGCCTCTGGTTCACAGGCCTGCACTCAATCCACTGAGCCACACCAGCCAGGGCTGGGGTTTTTTTTTTCAATGTGGTAAAATATATATAAAATGTGTTATTTTAACTGTAGGATAGGATAGCAAAATCAAGACAGGAAGGAGGGAGGAGACATGTCTCACCCACTAACTCAGCAGCCCTGAGCCTGGTCTGATAATGTTGCCAGGTGTTCCAACATCACAGAAAACACCATGCTAACATGGAGAAGGGCAGTCCTTGAAATTCCATGAATCATCTCTACTATCTGGGAAAGAAAGCCTTTGAAACTGTGTATTCATCCTAAGGTCTGGAAGATGGTAGGAGATCCAGAGTGCCAAAGCCCATAAAACAACTCTCGTTAATTGTCTACCTCTGGTCACTATCTGTTTCATAAAGGAGTCCCTAATGCTTTCACAAATAACTTTGGGTAGCTGCCTCAACTTTAATCAACTGCCTCCTGTCACGTGTCTATTTTATAACAAGATGAACAAAGAGGTTCTGGAGCAAGATAAGGATTTGGGCTAGCAGACCCCCACATATACCTAAGTTTGGGTAGTCATGTCCCTCCCCCTCCCCCCTCCCCAAAAGCTGGTACCACTTTTACCTGCCAATCAATGTGTACTTCTTCACTCCATCCTACCAACTACGTAAGTCCTCAAAACAAAGGAGGGCTGGGAGTAAAAGAAAATGGTACTTGAACAACAATTAAAATAAAATAAAATAAAACAATAAAACAAAACAAAGGACTCTCTTGACTTTCTGGATGCCTGGCCTCAGGCCACCCAGCCTCAGGGCACTTGGGCTTGCACTTGCAACCCTGGCCTTTGGCCATTTTTTAACTTTCGCTGCCATTACTCTGCTTTGCCTATGCTTTTCACCTCCCATCTAGGAAGACCTAGGCTACTGTCTTCCATGACAAATCACCAATAAACCCTACTTGCACACTAATAGTTTTGCCGATCTGTAATTTTTTACTGTGTAGGCGAGAATAATTGAGTTTCTGGGAATTTCTCCTGTAACATGACCACTTTAAAGTATGTAATTCAGTGGTATTTAGCACATTCACATTTTGTGTAACCATCATCACTATATAGTTTCTGAAAGTTTTCTTCACCCCAACACACTACCTCATGCCCATTAAGCAGTGATTCCCCATACCCTTTCCTCAGAACCCCTGGCAACCACTGATCTGCTTTCTGCCTCTATGGATTTGCCAACTATGGACATTTCATATAAATGACATCATATAATATCTATGTGAAATATCTATGATGATATCTCATCACTTAGCATAATGGTTTCATGATTCAACCATGTTGTAGCAAGCATCAATAATTTATTCCTTTTTACAGCCAAATATTTATCCATTGTACCACATTTTTTTCATCAGTTGATGACCATTTGGGTTGTTTCCATCTTTTGGCTACTGTGAGTAGTGCTGCTATAAACATTCAGGCAGTTTTTGTTTGAGCACCCGCTCTCAATTCTTTAGGTAAAAACATTATAGCCTTTTAATCATAAACCTATGCTTACTAAGGTGATGATCAAAATATCTCAACATCTTTTGAGAATCTATTGTACAACCACACAGAATGCTAAGCACTGGGTATATAAATTGCAATGAAAAGGTAGACATCATCCCTGTCCTCCTGAGGAATGATAGAAAATTAAATAAGCGAGTAAAACACAGACCTGGCAGCAGTCAGGATTAAGGGTTCCTTTTCCATTTGCTATTAAAGGAAAAGTAAAAAAGGGTAATGATGTACCTGAGCAAGATGCTCTAACAGGATTCTTCTGGATGCAACACACAAGTACAATTAAGAGTAGCTTAGTCCTGGCTGGTGTGGCTCAGTGGATTGAGTGCCAGCTTGCAAATCAAAGGGTTGCTGGGTCAATTCCCAGTGTAGGGCACATGCCTGAGTTGCAGGCCAGCTTCCCAACAGGGGGTGTTCAAGAGGCAACTACATATTGATGTTTCTCTCTCTCCTTCCCTTACCCTCTCTAAATATAAATAAATAAAATCTTGAAAAAAAATAAAATAGCCCTGGCTGGTGTAGCTCAGTGGATTGAGCATGGGCTGCCAACCAAAGGGTTGCCAGTTTGGTTCCCAGTCAGGGCGCATGCCTGGGTTGCGGGCCAGGTCCCCAGTAGGGGACATGTGAAGGGCAACCACACATTGATGTTTCTCTCCCTCTCTTTTTCCCTCCCTTCCTCTCTCTCTAAAAATAAATAAATCTTTAAAAATAAATAAAATAAATTAAAGAAAGGGTAGCTTAAACAATAATGGCATTTATCATCTTATATAATAATAAGTCTGAGTAGTAAGGTTCCTGAGCAGGGTAAGTCAGCAGCTCAACTTCAGGAACTAGGTTTTCTCCTTGCCTCTGCTCTGCCATCCTCATAGACACAATAGGGAATGACAACTCAAGGCATCATGTACTCTTCTCAAAGAACAGAAGTGGGAAGATGGCAGATGCCTTCCCAATCCCTTTTTAGGTATAAGAAAAACGCTCCCAGATATCCTCCAGAATACTTCCCCTTGGGTCTATTCTGCCAGATTTGCATCACAAGCCTATTCCTACACTAATCATTAGCAAAGGAATGGAAGTACAATACCTGACTTAAGATTAATCAACTTTGAGGCTGAAAGAGGGCCCCACTTCCCCTGGAGCATACAGCCACCTATACCCTAACAAAATACAGGTTCTGGGGAAATGTAAGAGGGAAAACGAGCTGTAGGATGGGCAGCCAAGAGTGTCTGCCCTGGGGCCTAGGCAAGAGTTGCTGGAAGAAGTCCAGCTCTTTGTGTTCTCTGAGCTACAGGCCTCAACTGAATGTCTCAAAAGAAAAATAAACAAAACCCAAACCTCAACATGTCCAAAGCTGAACTTATGATCCTCATCAAAGTGTTCTCTACCAGTGCTCTAATTCTTTGTGAATAGCACCACCATTCCAGCTGTACCAGAGAGAAAAACAGAAGTCATCATACCTCCTCTTCCTCCTCCCTATCCATATCTATGTATCACCAAGACTTGTTGATAAAACCTGCCAAATAGCTACTGAATCTACTACTCTCTTTACCTCCACTGCCATCAATTCTAGTCCAAGTCACTATCATCAGTTCTTTCCTGGATCTCTGCAACCATCTTCTGCTTAGTTGAACTCTCTCCAAGTCCTTCAAGTTGCAGCCAAAGTAGCCTTTTCAAGCATATGCTCATGTTTAAAATTTGCTCCCTACTGCTCCTAGAATAGAGAGCAAATAAAGCCCTTCCCCGACTCTTTGCAACACAGGTCACAGGTTTTCCTGAGCTTGTGAAAGGGCTGTGCTCACCCCACCTTAAGATTTCTGCACTTACCCTTGCTTCTGTTCATTGCCATCTTTCAGATCTCTGCTTAATCAGCACTTCCTAGGGAAAGCTTCAGATTCCTTTGCAATATCATAGAGAAGTCCGTGTCCTTCCTTCGGGACATTTTTCTATGTACTGCAAGATCCATGAAAACACGGAGCTTCTATCTCCTACAACATAATGCCTGGTTCATAGTAAGTGTTCAATATATAGTTGTTCAATGGCAAAATGAATACATAAGCTTCAGAGAAGAAAAGCGAATAACGAATGTGAATCCAGTCCCTGAAAGAACCTAACGGCTGTGACCCACCCACACAGGTTGACCTGCACGGACTACAAAACTTGGAGCCCCTCCCAGTAGCCCCGCCTCTTGGGATCGGCCCCTCCTTTTGGGTGGAGGGGTGGGGCATAAGATTGCAGGATGCGACAGCAGCCGGCCTTTGATTGGGCTTCCAGGGTGCCCGCTAGGAAAAGGGGCGTATCCACGGGCTCTGATTGGCTCTCTTGAGGTGGCAGGGCAAGGGGCGGTGGCCGCGCGGGGCTGACGCCGGGAAAGAGGGGACCCGGCGGGTCGGGGAGCGGTGGCGTGGCGTAATGGGCCCCTGCCACCAGCTTCGCTGAGACTCTCTCGCGTGGGCTGCTCTTGGCCGGTCTGCAGTGGCTGCGGCGGCATGAAGGGCGCTCTGGGGAGCCCCGTGGCCGCGGCGGCCGCAGGCGCCGCGATGCAAGAGAGTTTCGGCTGCGTCGTAGCCAACCGCTTCCACCAACTGCTGGACGACGAGTCGGACCCGTTCGACATCCTGCGCGAGGCCGAGCGCAGACGCCAGCAGCAGCTGCAGCGCAAAAGGCGAGACGAGGTGGTGGCGGCCGGGACCGGGGCCGGGGCTGGTAACCGCGGCGGCAGGAGCCCGGCCGGGGCCTCGGGCCACAGACCTGGCGCGGCCGGTGGCCGGCGGGAGTCCCAGAAGGAACGCAAAGGCCTCCCGGCTCCTGGCGCGCAGCAGCCAGACAGCCCCGGAGGCGGCCCGCAGACACCTGGTACGCGTGCAGTGGCGGGTACCTGGGCGCCTCCGAGTGGGGGGGAGGGGGATGGGGTCACGGAGGTCACCGTTCTAAAGCTGCCCCAGTATTCCCAGTATGAGACTGGTCACTAGAACCTGTTCCAAAAAGGGGAGGGGGCTTTGGGAATAGTTGCGTTGAGCTGAGGGTCCTTTGGCAGAAGAAGGTTGAAAAAGAGGATGGGCGCGGGGTGGGTGTCATGCTCCTTCCGACCTTCCCCAGTCCCTTCTGGGGACAGGGGCTGCAGGTTTGGAGTAAGGGGTCTCAAAACCTTGGAACTAACCCTTCACAAGTTGGGCAAAGTTAAGGGATACTGCTGGGTTGGTGTGTGGGTTAAAAACTAGGGTCGCTACTCCGGGTCTCACCAGTCTAGAGCTAGTAGGGACCTTCTCCATCCTCCAGCCCACCCTCTGCAAGATCCGGGTCGGGAAGCAAAAAGAGAGGCCTGCTCTGAAGGGAGCCCCACTTTAGGGAGGCTGGGCGCACCCGGCCCCTGGCAGTGGCGGCGAAAGCCCAGGGTTTGTGAAGAATCGCTAGAGTGAGATGTGCGGGCCTCTGTGATGGAGTGAAGGCCTGGGTGACCGCTGGGGTGGGATGTGACGTCGGCGCAAGCGGAATGCGGAGGGGTGTCCGCGGGATCCCCGGAGCCTTCAACTCGTCCGCTCAACGTAGTTTCCAGTATTGAGCCGGCATTATTTTTCAGTACCGCTCGTGGTGTTTATGGGATGTGTGACTTGTCATTAACTCAGACTGCTTTCTTTAACCTCACAACAAGGATATTCAAAGTTCCCCACCCCCTGTTTAGTCGGAGTGGGTGCGCAGAGCTTGGTGTACTACTATTTGCATATAGGGAGAGGGTGTTTAAGAGTTCGTTTCTCACCTGAACTGCATCAGTGGTGTAGTCATCAAGAATACACCTGTGTTTACTATTTTCCTAAAACAAGGCAGTAGTCCTAAGATTTGCCTAATAGTGTTCAGATTAAGATGTGTAGCTCCATCACTGCAGCCAGTGTTTGGCAGTGTATTCAATATTCAATTCAGTTTTACTGGCTAGTTCCTGGCTTGATGAAAATTGTGCACCCCTCAAATTGGCAGTTACAAAACAGCCACGGGAATGTAAAGTACGGTATAGGGAATATAGTCAATAATATTGTATAACTATATGGTGCCAAGTGGGTAGTAAAGTTATGGGAGGGATCACTCCCTAAGTTACATAGATTTCTAACCATCATGCTGTACACCTGAACCTAAAATAATACTGAATGTCAACTGTAATTGAAAAATTAAAAAAAAATTAAATGTGCATTCCAACCCCAAGAAAACAGCTGTTTTATTGGGACTTTGACTCCTGCATCTAGGTAATGTTTACCTTTATGTTTAAAAGTACAGTCCAGCGATATCACTTGAGAATAAGAAAATCAAGTCATTATAATACAGATGTTGGAAATTATTTAAAATACTATCTCAAGATGCCTTCATAGGCCATAAATTTATGAGCATATTTAAACAGTGAGTGAGACATGAGATATGTACATTTTGTATTATGTTTTATTTTTCTTTTAAATTTATTTAAATATAGTAATAAAAGAATAGGGAAAGGCTAAGCTTTTCCTTTCCCTTCATTTTTTAACAAATGAAAATGTATATTTTATCCTTGAGAATAGTGTGAAACTGCATTTAGTGCTAACATCACTTTGTAACCTTTGCAAAATTAAAAATGTCATGCATTTTTGTTATAAGAATCTTAAGCAGGTTAGAATTGTATGAAGTGAAAATCTCTTACCTTTCCTACTGTAAACATCTTGTATATATAGACATAAATGCACAAAGCTATTTCTTTTTTTCTAAATTTAAACGATGTAAACTGGATTATAGTTTGCTTCTTTCACTTAGCATTGTAATCTGTTATATTGATAACCTGTTTTTTCTGTCAATTTTTCAGGAGCCAAGTGATCTGGCTTTTGATATCTATATTAAAGATCTGTAATTAATTTTGTAGTTAAAGTGGAAATTTTGTCATTGTAGTTCTTTTTCAAGTTTGTGTTATTTCAGGAGCAACAGCGCATTCATTTCCATTTACTTGAGTGCTGTACTAAACTTAATCTGTAATGAGTGTTAGAGAGATGTTCTCTCGAGGTTTTGCAGCCCTAATTGATATGGACTACTTTTCTAACACTCAAAAATTTTAAAGTAGTTAGAATATTGTGAGTGAATGCTTAGTGTTGTCAAGAAATAGTCAAAACATGTTTGACATATAATGGAAACATTTATTAATCTGAAAAGAATGTGGAAATCATAAGAGCTTCCCATAGAGGTTTTTGATGTCCTTCATTATTTAACAATATACAGTTGACCATCGAATAACACAGGTTTGAACTTCTCAGTTCCACTTATATGTGAATTTTTCAGTTGACCCAAATTCAAGGGTCAACTGTACATTGATCCTTGTGTGAACCTTGCTCAGTAAATTCTTTCTTCAAGTCCTCAGAGGCTTTTTCATCTTTACTTTTCTTAGCTTTTCAGAACTATTGTTTTTGAGTCAAAGGTCAACTTTCTTTTGTAGGAAATCTCATTGCAAATTTTATTGTATTATGCCCCTCCGTGGGCTTGGATTTAAATCAGTGAACAACTGCATGAGCCAGCCTTTTATTGGAAAGGGCTGTTGAAATTCATTGTTTGGGTATCCCCTTGGAGCTGCTGATCCAGTAGAGAAAAACAAAGGAGGTTCAGTTGCAATCTTAATCTCTTAGTACTAAATTGTGGGAAAACAACTGTACCCCTATTATCTCTGTTTTTTGGGTTTTGGAGATAGAATGAAAAATGTGCAGGGTATTGATAATTATTCTAATAAGTAGCCAGTCATGTTGAATTGTGTTCAATTTATACACAGAAACTTTGGAAGAAGTTTTAATGCAAAGTATGCAGTAAATGTCATTTTAAGTTTTGAATGGTCAATTCCAAATTTAACTTATACAACTCAAAAATAACCTTGAGGAAGAAGAAGGTGGTATATGCTCCTAAGTAATTTTATAACTGAGTGTAGATATTAAGATTAAAAAAAATATTACTGGTTATAAATAGGAAATTGGAAGCTGTATTAAAATAACTTTTACATTGAGAGAAAAGTATTGAAAGATATTATTACTGTTGACACATTTGCTTATGACTGTTTTTGTCATGGTCTATTATCATTTTCAACTTGTTAGATAATTAATTTTCATAATATTTTCTATCTTACATTTCAAATGCATCTTCCAAATCTTATCTCTGTTAGAAAGTATATACCCTTGGATCTGGCATGGTGTGTTCCTGGGCCACTGGGCAGGAGTGTCAGCCTTCATTTTGTTTCTGCAGGAAAAGCACAGTGCTCTGTCACATTTCTCCCATATTCTGGACATGTCACAAGCTTGGATTGTGACTTCAGTACAAGGTGTAAACTGGATTTAAGCATTTCTAGGTTATGGGACGTTAACTTGAGGTTGAACTTAGATCTGTCATATAACTTTTCACATTTGAAAAAATTATGTTGACTAACATTTAATAAATTGTAGAATTTTATGTTAGTGGTATCACACACATGATTTTTGCTTTAAAATGATATCATTAAAGTATTGGAACTGTGTTAATACATGTGCCCAGTTTATAAAATTTAGATAGAAAACATTAAGTGGTAAAATGGAAAAATATGTATAAATATTGGGTTGCACAAAAATTCCATTTAATTTACTCCATAAAATAAAAGGCATTTTTCATTTTCACCAGTAACTTTATTGATTTGGATTTTTTGAATATGTCGGCTATCTCTCATGTGATATAATTGATTGTTCTCAAATAGTGTCTCAATTTGCTCTTAACTTCAACTGGTCTATGAACTGTGGAGCATCGTCCAGGGAGAAATCTCCAGCATGAAGCTTCACAAACCTCTTTTGACATGCTCCATCAGTCAGTCATAGCACCTTTTCTATGCACTGCACAAATCTATTTTTGAGTTTCAGTTGTGTTTTTATCTTGAAATAATATAGCGTAGTGTACTGAAAATGTGTTTTCTTCTATCTTCAATATTAAAATGGCTATACAAAAATTTACCAGTTTTTTAAATGCACACTAATATGACAGCTGTCACAATACAGTCTAACAAAATTGTTTTGAATGATGTTAAAGACAACAAAGCACTACTAGAGATATCTTACAGAAAAAGCCAAATGAACTTTTTAGCCAACCCAATTATTCCTTAAGAATCATGTTTATCTAAGCAGGAATGGGAAACAGCAATTTCATAAATACTCATTAATTCAAATGCATTTAACATTTTTATAGCCATATAACCACCTGAAGGGTAATTTATAGAACAACCAAAGGTACTGTAACAAACATTGTACATAATATTTGAGATGGGGACTTTTTAAATATATACAAAGAAAAGATAAATATTTTTGGAAGATGATTTAAGTATTGGAAAAAGATTTTCAGTATTAGATGCTTATCAGACATCTGTGTAACATTTTTAAAGCATCGAACAGGAGGGGCAGGGAGTAAAGTGAGGAGAGAGGAGAGAGGGAAGGACTGGGGTGGTCATCCCCATCCCAGCTGCGTGCTGGTCCCATGGATGAGAGATGTCTCTTTGGGTGCTTACTGGCCTTTGTATGATTTGGCAGTACAACTTTGGCTTTATATTTCAGAAGTATGATCATAAATGCATAAATACCATCAAGTAGCAGGAAAATCTTTTTCTAAATAAAAGAGGTAGTAGTGGTACAAGCTTTATTTAAAACCAAAAGCCTTAGTAGCTGATGCTAAACCACAGTTGAGGCTCTAAAAATACAATTTAAAGTACAAGGTTTTTATCCTAAATTTTTCTAGATGTAGTTTAGCTACCATGTTTTGATAAAGCTGCTTTTGTAAAATGTAGTTGGTTTAGCAATTATATCCATAGCTGTCACAGAGTCGTTGTGAGATACCTGTCATTAGAGGTTAGTTGGTATAGTTTGGTTGGTATAGTTACCTTAGTCATACTTTCTAAAACATAAGGGAAGGCATGTAATTCAATAGTAACTTAAAACATTTATAAAACTTAAAGCTTTTATTAAAAAGTAGTTGATTTTGGGCTATAGTAATATCAACTGTTTTCCTCTAAACTTCCAAATTTCCTGATTTTCCCATGTCGTTGATTTCTAGCAAAGTGAAGTGTAAAAGTACCTGTAAATAACATGCTGTCATAGACTTCGTGTTCCACCTCTCCCCTTTGTTTTTTTATTGGCAGGCCATAAGCGAGCTCCCAGAAGAGGAGAGCAGCAAGGATGGAGTGATAGCCGGGGGACAGAGGTGACACAGGATCGAGCAGAACGGAGATCCTACAGGGACTTTCCACCCTGTGAGACTGAGAGGCAGGCGGACTCTACACCCGAGAAGTTTACAGATGAAAAGTATGTACTGCAGACAGATCTTGGCCATGAGGGTTGAGAACCAGAATGGTTTTCAGAGAATGACTAGTCTTTGTGACCTTTTTGTAGTGCTGGTCCTGGGTATTGCTTGTCAAGTTAGGTAACAAATCATATTTCTTTAGGTGCCATGTGAAAGATCTTCCATATATCTCTTAAATGACCTTAAGTCTTGGTTTAGGCAGTGATTTCATGATGAATTATTTCTTGATAACTATGAAAAGTACTCATAAAAAAACTGCACAGGAGTATGTTCAAGCGGTTAAATTTTCTTCTGAAGTTTAGACTAGGGATATAGTTATGTTTTTTATTTAGGATTACTAATGTAGATCACTGATGAATTTAAATAAATTGCTAGCCCCATAGTCAGGTCCATAGGCTATCATGATGAAATTTGAAGAAGAGCTCGTGATGTCTAACACCAGTTTCTGGCTCCCATACTTCTTTAGCAAGTGCTCTGACCCAGAAATGGTCTTGGGTTGGTGCAGTCCGGCACCACTCCTGAGTGATGTGGCATCATGCAGACCATCTGTACTCACCTGTACACAGTAGTAACAGTTCTTTGTGTCTTATGCTTGACAGTAACAGGATGGATGCTTGCTGCCTAAAGTTTTTGTTTAATTATTAAACCCACGTAGCGCTGAGTTTAGACTAAACTGGAACAACTTATGAATCACATTTAAAGGTAAATAAAGTAAAAAAAGGCTTAAGGTGCTTTGATCGAATAGCTCATTTGGTTGGGGCATTGTGCCATATGCCAAAGGGTTTCTGGTTCGATACCCAGTCAGAGCACATACCTAGGTTGTGGTTCGATCCCTGGTTGGGGTACAAACGGGAGGCAATCGATCAATATTTTTCCTCTTTCTCTCCCTTCTTCTCTCTCTAAAATCAGTGGACATAACCTCAGGGGAGGATTAAAAAAAAACACATTTAAAAAAAGGTTAAGGAAACTAGAGCAGTGTGTAGTATAATTTCCAGGGAGCCTTTATTCCCAAGTCTCTCAACTTCTTGACTACTAATCCCATTTAGGATCCTGGCTACAAGTTTTAACCAAAGAATATGGTTTTGTAAAACTATATGCTCAGTATGAGAGGGCTGAGCAGATGGTGACTTCTGCAGATCTGTTCCCTAGCAGTTACACACTCAAAACATCAAGGTATGGTGCATCTGCCACCATGTTGGAGGTGAGGGTTAGAGAAAGGCTTAATTCTGCCTTTTTTGGTGATTACTTCAAATTTGCTGTGTAATGGCCACAGTCTGCATGCTTGCAAAAAGCCTTCTGGATTAGAGCTGCTTATTTTTTAGGAAGCATTTGTGTGTGTGTGTTTTTTTTCTCACTTCAGGAATTTATTCTGTGCAAATAAGAAAATTATAGGTCAAAAGCACAAGCCTATATTTCCAGTTATTTTTTGGTTGCAAAATTACGAGTCTTTAAAAAGGATAAGATAGGTCTTTACATGTTAACATGAAAAGATCCCTGTTAAGTGAAAGTATACATGTGTGTAAGACTAGGGATTGGGTGGGATATGGGATGTAGAGGTATTTTTTCTTTTTTCTTTAAAAATGATTTCAGATTTATAAAAAGTTGCAAGAATTATACAAAGAATTTCCATACACCCTCATCCAGATTCCCCAAAAGTTAACATTTTACCACATTTGCTTTATTATACCATTCTCTCTCCTTTTCTTTCTCTCTCAGCCTCTTCCCATACACATTTTCTCTTCTCTCTCACATACATATACCTTTTTTCTTTGTCATTTGAGATGAGAGTAAGGTGCAGAACTATCCCTTTATCTTAAATACTTTAAATGTATTTCCTAAAAACATGGTACAATTATCAAATTTATTAACATCAGTACAATCCTATTTGATTCTCTAAATTACATAATCTACAGAGTATTCTGATTTCACCAGTTGTCCTAGCAATGTCCTTTCAGCAAAGGAAAAAAAGTCTGGTTCAGGGTTCAGTCCAGGAATGTGCATGGCATTTGGTCGTCTTTAACTGGGAGCAGCTCCATAGTCTTCCTTTATCTTTTATGAATTGGACTTTTTTTTTTTTTGAAACATAGAGGCCAGTTGTTTTATAGAATAGCCCAAAATTGAGTTTGTCCAGTGTCTCCTCATGGAGCAACCCTATCATTTTGGCAGGAATACCACAGAAGTGGTGTCCCATGTCTTCACTGTATCATATTAGGAATATGTAGGAATTTTTACTTTCAAGGAAATTTGAAATTTTTTGATAAGTCATATGTCATCAGAAAAAGTACTTTTCTGTAATAAACGTCCATCAGATCTTTAATAAAAGCAATTTATAGTCTCTTCAGACAATTTGGAAAACATGTACAATTATAAAGAAAATTAAAACCACCTATCTTACCATCTGAGATGATTACTTTTAATAATTGGCCTATTTTCTTCCTTTTTAAAAAAATTTTGTTTTAATACATAGCTATATATTGGGTTGGCCAAAAAGTTCATTTAGTTTTTTCTGTATGATGGCTATAGGAATACTTAATTGTATTTTTAGGACCATTAGATGCACCCAGGTTATAGAGGAGGAAAATAGGAAAAAAAAATTTTTGAGGCAAAACATGTGGTAAAATATTTAATAACTTGTGACCCCACTCCACCGCCACCCCCCCACAGCAAGCCAAGTAAGATACATTCGGACTATAAAATGCACCCTCCCCTTGCCCCAGATTTGGGGTGTGTGTGTCTTATAGTCTGAAAAATACGGTAGTTGTCTAACTTCATTTGAAACAATTTTGTTAGATTGTATTGTTATAGCTGCAATAGCACTGTGCATTAAGAAAAAACTTAATCAAAATTGGTGAATTTTTGTGCAGCCATTTTAATATTGAAGATGGGAGAAAATGCACATTTGGGCATATTATACTTTATTATTTTAAGAAAGATAAAATGCAACTGAAACACACAAAAAGATTTGTGCAGTTGTATGGAGAAGGTGCTGTGGCTGAACAAATGTGTCCAAAATAGTTTGCAAAGTTTCTTGGTACTGTTGACATTTTGGTCAAATAATTCTTTGCTATGGGGCTGCCTTAGGCATTGGAAGATGTTTGGCAGCACTCTTGGCCTCTACCCACTAGAAGCCAATAGCAGGAGATAGCCAACTTACTCAAAATATCCAAATCAATAAAGTTACTGGTAAAAATGACAATGTCTTTCATTTTACAGAAAAAACTAAATGAACTTTTTGGCCAACCCAATACTTAGCGCTTAAGATGATAATGCATATACACTAAGTACTTTATATTCTTTTCCATTTGACATGGTGGAAGTCTTTTCCATGTCATTAACAATGTTTGGTAAGCATTTTATTATCACCTATTGTTTCTGTGTATTATAATGTAATCATTTCCGTAGTGTTAGACCTTCGCTCAGCTTCCAGTTGTTTGCTTTATAAATAATTCCCAGTGAGAAGCTTTTCATATATGTAGGGATTTTCCTAGATGGAGTTCTTCTGGAAGTGGGAGTCCTAGTTAGGGGCACAGAGCAGTCCTTTTCATGGATCCCAGTATGGACCCTGATGTGCTTCAGTGCAGATTGCATGGATACATGAAGTGTAAAAATAAACAAAAATTGTCTATCGACGCATAGTGACAAATCACTATCCTAGTAACCTATCAATTTACTCTATCACTAATGATCTATAAAGGCATTTCTCATAGCATTTTCTCCAGACTTAAATATAATAAGGTAATGTTTGATCCTTGCTTATTTGATAGTGAAGATGGTTATCACCTTCATTCTTATAACACCTAAACATGTTTATTGGACAGAGTTATAGAATCTTGATAACCTTAACAGACTGTCTAACTAACTAGATTCTCTCAATTTATGGATGAAGAAATAAAGACCCAGAATTTCAACAATGTGGGTTCTGGTTGCAGTCAGCTGACATGGATTTTTATCCCACTAAGGCAGAACCTATGTTTTTACAGAGAAGCAATGTCACAAATGGTGCCGGGAGTAACTGTCAGTGTAGCTGTGGGCAAGGATCAGCCACGTCACTTGTTGCATATGCTCTGGGAGCACAAATGCTGTTCTTAACGCAGTAGGAATTTTCCTTTAGGCTCCAAATGATGAATTTAGGTGAACTCTGAGAACATAGACTATCAGGAAATTAGTCTGCCTCTGTCTGGACACACTTGGCTCTTTTCTGCAATTTACTGCTTGTTGTTTAAAGTCAGTTCCAGTTCTGAAAGAATCACATGTTTAATTTTTTTCCTCCTCATAAGGAAGGATTTTTTAAAAACTATATATACATAATACATACCATTTTAACCACTTTTAAATATACAGTTCAGTGGCATGAAGTCCATTCACATTATTGTGTAACCATCATCTCCATCCTTCTTCAGAGCCTTTTCATCTTCCCCAGGTGTACCCGTTAAACACCAACTCCCCACGCCCTACCCAGTGCTTCGTTCCCTCTGTAAAACATACTCATGTCTACTTGTCAGAATTGTTGTAAGAGTGGGTGACAAGTATGTAAAGTGGGATGCTTGGCTCAAAGGTTATTTTCCTTCCTTTAGCTTGTGAGTGCATCACAAAGCTTCTGAAGTGGAGTATAGGATTCTTCGATATCCAAGAAGCCTGTGCCAAGAAGAAATATTTTATAATAAGAGGAAGTAAACAATTGAGAATATATTTAATTGGGACTGGGGGTAAACTTATGGAGTAGAGAAAAAATGATTTAAGGGATTAAAAAATACACCGGAATGCACAGGGCTATTTTTATGGCAGTCTCAATCGCTATTACAGTTTAAATGAATTTGTAATTTTGTCTGTACCTGATCTAGATTTTATGTACATTTAGACCTGATTTTGACTGTTGGCATTATTTCCTTGTATCTTTTTGCTTTATTTCCTCTTAATTTTTAAAAAAGATTTTATTTATTTATTTATTTATTTATTTATTTATTTATTTTAAGAGAGAGGGCAAGGGAGGGAGAAAGAGGGGGAGAGAAACATCAATTGGTTGCCCCTTGCACGCCCCCAACTGGGGACCTGGCCTGCAACCCAGGCATGTGCCTTGATGGGGAATCAAACCTGCAGCCTTTCAGTTCTCAGGATGGCACTCAATCCACTGAGCCATACCAGCCAGGGCTCAGTTTTTAGGTAGGTTTTTTTTCTTTTCTGGTCCTATCCAACTTCCTGGTTAAGAACTTACTTTTCTTTTGTCATTGTTTTAGAACTCTACTTTAGGTACTTCAATAGGAAGTCAGATTGTAAAACAGTAAACTCTATTTTAAAATTTGGTTTGGGGGTTGTTTTCTAATTTTTTTGTACATTTGGATCAGCAATAATTAATGAACCCCCTTTAAAAAAAGTTTTGATAAAGGGAGGTGGGAGACAAAAGCCAACTTGTAAAGTTTATTTAGAATGGGATTTCTTACAGAGAGTGGCATGAAATTAGTGATCCATGTGCCTCTAGCTCTATCTTTTCGAGTAAGGAAAATTAGGAGTTTTACATCTTTTTACCCATGATGGTATAGTAGCTTTTTTTTTTTTAAGTCCTCACCTGAGAACATCTTTTCATTGCTTTTAGAGAGAGAGGAATGGGGTGAGGGAGAGAGAGAAACATGGAATAACAGAGAAACATCGATTGGGTGCCCCCTGTAGGCTTCCATGACTAGGATCAAACCTGCAAAAAGTACATTTTATTGATTATGCTATTAGTTTCCCAATTTTCCCCTCTTTACCGTCCTTTTGCCCTGCACCCTACAACCCTCCAGCATTCCCCACTTTAGTTCATGTCCATGGGTTGTACATATAAGTTCTTTGAGTTCTCTGTTTCCTATACCATTTTTGACCTCTCGCCATCTATTTAATGCCTACTAATTATGCTGCTTCTTCCCTGTATCTTGCCCGCCATTTCTCCCATCCCCCTCTCCAATGAAAACTATGTGATGTCCATTTCTCTGATTCTGTTCCTGTTCTAGTTGTTTGCTTAGTTTTTTTTTTTTTTTGAAGTTCATTTTTTGATAGTTGTGAGTTTGTTGTCATTTTACTGTTCGTAGTTTTGATCTTCTTTTTCTTAGATAAGTCCCTTTAACATTTCATATAATAAGGGCTTGGTGATGATGAACTCCTTTAACGCCTTATCCGGGAAGCACTTTATCTGCCCTTCCATTCTAAATGAGAGCATTGCTGGATAGAATAATCTTAGACGTAGTTCCTTGCCTTTCATGACTTGGAATACTTCTTTCTAGCCCCTTCTTGCCTGTAAGATTTCTTTTGAGAAATCAGCTGACAAGTCTTATGGGAACTCTTTTGTAGGTAACTCTCTCTTTTCCTCTTGCTGCTTTTAAGATTCTCTATCTTTAACCTTAGGTAACTTAATGATGATGTACCTTGTTGTGTTCCTCCTTGGGTCCAGCTTCTTTGGGACTCTCTGGGCTTCCTGGACTTCCTGGAAGTCTATTTCCTTTGCCAGATTGGGGAAGATTTCATTCATTATTTGTTCAAATAAGTTTTCAATTTCTTGCTGTTGTTCTTCTCTTTCTGGTCCACCTATAAATTGAATATTGGACCTTTTCAAGTTGTCCCAGAGATTCCTAAGCCTTTCTTCAGTTTTTTGAATTCTTCTTTCTTCATTCTATTCTGGTTGGATGTTTCTTTCTTCTTTTGTTCTAAATCATTGCTTTGAGTCCTGGTTTCCTTCCTGTCACTGTTCCCTAAGTATTTTGCTTTATTTCTTTTGGGTATCTTTCATTTGTTTTTTCATTTTTCATCCAAGTTCAATCAGGTCTGTGAGCATTTTAATTACCATGGCTTTAAGTTCTGTATCACATAGGTTGGCTATCTCTTCATCACTTAGCTCTCTTTCTGGAGTTTTGCTCTTTTCTTTCATTTGGGCCATATTTCTTGGTCTTGGCACAGCTGATATGTTGGGAGCGGGTGGGGCGTTAGGTATTCACCAGGGCAGGGCACCCCTCCTCGCTGCACTGTGGGCTGCCTATTAGGGAGGGGCCAGAGAGGGAATAGTGCAGCTTGCCTGCTCGTCTCTAGCCTGCTTTCCAACGAATTCTTGTGAGACTGGGAGTTTCTCCCACTGCAGCAGCCCCTGGTGTAGTCCACAGTCAGCTCTGAGTCCTAGTTTCCCGTTCATTAAGTCCTGAGTGCATGTGGTCCACAGGCTTGCTGAGGTTTCTCTCAGCTGGCCCCGCCCATGCAGTCTGCCGCCTTGTCTTGGGTTCTCACCTGTCCACTGTGAAACTGGCCTGGTTGTTCCAGTTGCCTGTTTCCTTAATTAGCTGGTTTTTGGAGTTCCATGTAGTTTGATTTTCTGGCACTTCTAGTTGTTTATTGATTTTAGATTGGTTGGTATCCAATGGAATATGAGGAAGCAAAGGGTTTCTACCTACACCTCCATCTTGGCTAGAATTTCTGAATCCTGAAGCTTTTGGTGCACAGGATGGACACTCTAACCAACTGAGCCACACTGGCCAGGGCTAGTAGCTTTTTAATGTAACATTTTACATTTAATGTAACATTTTCAGCCATAAAAGTAGACCTCTAGTTCTGGCATTAGAGCCATTAATAATGCCCCATTGGATTTCAGTAAATGATTTTTTATAGCTTTGAATGTTTTTAAAAGCCTTGACAAATTAAGAAATGTAATTTGTCTAACTAAACTAGGGTTTAACAATGAGAAAAGATGTGGTCCTTCCTGCAGGAGCTTTGAGTCTAGTGGAGGAGAGGCAAGTACTCATGGAAAGTGATGGTAACCAGCAGTGAGGCAGAGAGAGGTGTGGCAGGCCCTGGGTCCAGTGGGTGTGGCAGGAGGAATGGGAGGGTTGGAGAAAGGGCCCAGTTCTTGGCTTGGGCACTCTTGTGTTGTGAGTTAGGGACCACAGAGGGAGCAGGGTGGGTCACTTGGGTCACATATGACCCACCCACTGTGGGTCATATGTAGGGCTGGGCATGTAAAGAGGGATATGTCCGGGAAGTACCTGGTTTTATGACCTGGAATCAGAGACCCCCCCCCCAACGGAGAGACATGAGGTCATATGAACGAGGGTCAGGTAGCATTAGCATAGGGGTGAGGGTGATGTATGTGGGATGTGCATCGCGAAGAACAAAGGAGGCAGCTGTGTGCAGAGCACCCAGGTATGGTAGGTGAAAAAGGCAAGGTACAGAACTTTCTCTTGTGTGACTCTGGATCTGCCTGGCTCTGAGAAGTGCAAGTAAGTGGCTGAGGAGCACAGGAAGTACTTTGTCATTTTGTACCATATATGGGTATGATATATTACAAAAATAATCATTTTGGGACAGACAGGGAAAGAGAAGCCAGAATGGTCAGAGGAAAATTAGTGTTCGGCCGTGTCACCTGGTAAATAGGGGTCAAATAACTTAAAGATAAAAGTTACTATTGGACTTCACAACCAAGAGGTTGTCTTTAGCAGTCCTTGGAAGTTTGTGTATCTATTATAATTTTTTTAATTCTTATTGATTTGAGAGAGAGAGAAACATTGATTTGTTGTTCCACTTACTTATGTATTCATTGGTGATTTCTTGTATGTGCCCTGACTGGGGATTGAACCTGCAACCTTGGCATACCAGGACAACACTCTAACGAATTGAGCTACCCGGCCAGGGCTTTGTCCTTTGAAGTTTATGTGGAGCAATGAGGGTAGAAGTCAGGTTGTCCTAGGATAATATATAAAGCTGCATATGTCACTGACTGGTTATGTATTTGGGAGGAGACATAATTTGAAGTTTAACTATTTTTCTTATTATGCATAGCATTCCAAATTTAACTTAAATGTTTAGTATTAGAACTGGAATGAACCTTAGAGTTAGTTTATCTAACCTTCTCATTTTATAAATGAAGAAACCAGATCCAGAGAGGGAAAGGGGTACCCCTCTACAGATTAGTGTAAGTCCTGCCCAGGACCTGCTTCCCACTGGCTCCCTGACCTAGTAGCCTTGGACAAATTACCTATTTCCTCTGTGCCTTGGTTTCCTCGTTGCCTCATGGGCAATAGTTACATATTATAGATTTGTTTGTGTGAATTAAATGGCTGTATGTGAAGCACTCAGAACAATGCCAGAGATAGTATGTGTTCAGTAAAAGTTAACTATTAATTTATCATTCAAGCCACCATTCTTTCCAGTATACTACAGCCATAATGTCTTGCTAGAATTTTCTTTATTAAAAAAAAGTCTTAGCTCTTTAATTCACCACTTTTTATTGTACGCATGTTTTCCTAGACCAGTTGACCGGTTTGATCGAGACAGACCACTGAGAGGACGTGGAGGCCCGAGAGGGGGCCTGCGGAGCAGAGGCAGAGGTGGTCCTGGGAACAGACCTTTTGACCGTTTTGACCAGAGAGGGAAACGGGAATTTGAGAGATATGGTGGGAATGATAAAATGTAAGTTTCCTTGTAAATGTTATTTTCACTTTGAGATCTTAGTCATCATAATATGAATCTGTTATATGTTAATATTTAGTTGACTTTGTATTGGTATACTGTCATTCCTGAAAGAGCTGATCCTGGGATAACTTTTAGATCAACAACTCTGAGTTGGAGATTGACTAGAGGCCAGCTTCCAGTTTAAGGGAATATCCTTTCTTTCTCTAGAGCAATCAGAACTGAAGACAACATGGGTGGATGTGGAGTTCGCACCTGGGGATCAGGTAAAGATACCAGGTATGGTGCAAATGTGTACATTCTGTGAACCTACAGCTAAGTGGAAGTCTTGATCTTAATTGGCCTTTCATGAAAATTATATTCTCTGCTGTGCTTGCAGTGCCTTTATACTTGTGTTCCTTTAAGTAGAGATAGGTTTTAGGCTTTTGTTTAACTTTAAATAATGGGTTTGCTATGTCGTAATTAGATTTGAAAACTGTTTTTAAAATTCTTTTATTTTGTCTTATTTTAGCCAAACAAATTTGTGTGTTTGCTCATGCACCAAGCACATGACATTACATTTGCAAAAGCTTCAGAATGTTTTTTAAATTCCTGGATATTCTATATTTCATTTTTCTGTGACTTTTCCAAAGTTCTTATATACATTGCATCTTCATTTCCTGAAATCATTTACAGATTGAAGCTCAGTGACAAGTTTTGCCTGAGGTTCAAATTTGACATTTCTCTGAGGCATCGTGGTGTCTCAGATCTGTTCCAGTTTTGCTCCTTAAAGGAGGTACGTGGTTCTGCTGTGTCTGTCGTTTCACCGCTGCAGGGAGGATGCCTTCCTGGTGTCTGCAATGGGATAGACAGGAAATACTTCAAGGCAGTGTAGGGTGGCAAATAGGTCACCCTAGGACATGTTGCAGGGCAGGCTTTCTACAAGTTTGAACTCTTGAGAGGATCCAGACTTCCAATTTTCTTCTTTTGAATATAAGCTTTTTATATAAATTTATTTTTCTTAAATTGTTATCTTTAAAGACAAATTGTACACAATAATATCAAGTGTAACATCAGATTTACTACCATTGCACATTTGTTGTCCTTGAAAGGGAAAAAAAACTTGTTAAATATTCTCGATCTGGGCTTCCATAGGATTTTTTTTTTTTTTGAGAATTTAATGAACTACTGTCTGTGTAGCTTCAAGCTACCAGGACACAGGCCCCACCAAGACTCCTTATCTTGTCCTCAGGAATTTGGCCTTCATGATGACAGGCTGCTTTGGAATTTGCTGCTGAGGAATTTGGCCTTCAGGATGACAGGCTGCTTTGGGAGCTTCCATGCCCCGGAAGTTTGTAGTAGGCCAATTGCATCACAACAATGATGGGAGCAGTTCCAGTCTTGTTTTCAGCAGCATTTACCCGTGTCTGCTTACTGACCAAGGTCCACAGTTTATCAAGGTTGACAGTGAGGCAGAAGCTCTGGTTCCTCTTTAAATGGTCATGCTTCATACCAGCTTTCCCAAAGTAACCTGGGTGGTATTTGTTGGAGCTGATCCTGTGATGATGTACAGCACCAGCATTACCTCGGCCTCCCAGTTGCTTCCTGTGCTTGATGATGCGGCTGTGGCTGTGGCTCACATGGCCCCAAAGTTTCTGGGCTTTCCTCAGTCTGGATGGTGTGTTGATGGCTAAGATGCCTCCATATGATCTCTTTTTCTTTCCAGAGCATTTTTTAGAAGATTTTATTTATTTATTTTTAGATAGATGGGAAGGGAGGGAGAAAGAGATGGAAAGAAACATCAGTGTGTGGTTGTGTCTCGCTCACCCCGCCACTGGGGACCTGGCCTGCAACCCAGGCATGTGCCCTGACTGGGAATACAACCGGTGACCCTTTGGTTCACAGGCTGGCACTCAATCCCCTGAGCCACGCCAGGCAGGGTAATAGGCTCTGGACTCTAAATCTTTTTATTTTGTTTTATTTTACTGTGATTATAGACAGATAGTTAATATATTTTTAAAAAGCAATACAGGCAACTCTTGAATCATCTGATTTACTACTTTAATGCTACCACTCCATTTCAGTTTGCGTTTGGACTTAAAATTATTTTTGGCTCCAAGTGATAACTTACACTAAGGCATCAGCCTTGGACTTGTAGCATTAAGAGGTGACCACATGTGCTTCTGGTTGACTGACATGTCTAATGTGAAGACGAAAGGTGCCCTGTGGCACTCATTTTGGATTGATTTGTGAGTTAGAGCTCTGAGGTGGTAATAATCTATAATCTAAAGATTCTACTTAAGTGTAAGATTTTAATTGCTTACCTAATAAATTGAAATTTTGATTTGCCATCAAGAACACCATGTAGTACAGTTGAATTATGTGCAACTTTTGATTAATAAACAAAAGCAGAGGTGAGCCTAACATAGGAAGTGATGTGTCTGTCCATAGCTGGCGAGGCCAGATGCTGCACAGATCAATGTAGGTGTGAGGGTTTCGCTGTAGTCCAGTATTTCTATTTGAAGATACTAGCAACATAATTAGATTTGTGGACAAGCTGCTTTTAAAATGGTGTGGCTGAGCCATTTCTAGTGTTATGGTTTTCAGAACAGTTTGATTGTGAGTACCTGTGCTGAAAATAGTATTTGTTCCATCAACAGTAATTTAAGAAGTATAATATCAGATATTACTTGCTTGTCACCAATTGAAATAGACACCCGTTAATGCAGTTTTCAATAATTCTGCCTTCCAGCTTCTGTTGTGAAGAGCAAGACAGTTTATGTAGTTATCAAGAAACATTTGGCTAAAATCTGTTCACTGTCATAGATTTGGTTAAATGTGAAGTCTGATTGAATGAACTAGAAAATGAAGCCTTGAGGTGTTTAACATTGTTTTGTGGAACATGCATGTGCAAACAGGTATGTGCTATATTAGAAAAACTGAAGTCAAAATATAGACTTGGGAGCTCTGGAGTGGCAGCTCAGGTAGCTAGAGCATCATCCAGATATGCCAAGGCTGCAGGTTTGACCCCTGGTCAGGACAATGACGAGAAGCAACCAATGAATGCATCAATAAATGGAACAACAAATTGATGTTGTATACCCATGCTCTTTCTCTCTCTCAACAAAATAAAGGAAAAATTAAAAAATATGTAGACTGAGCTGTGGCACTAGATCGTCTAATCCAACATTGATGATTACTTTAAACAAAATAATAAAATATGCCAGAATAAATTGTACCTAATTTTGAAACATTATTGTTTTGTAGTTGTGGTTATATGGTTCTATAAGAGCTGTAAATACAGTGTTCATTTTGGTTTATTCATAACATAATAAAATAATTAAAAAATAATTTAGGTCAATACAGGGGAGACCTGTGATTTTTTTCATTGAAATCAATTGCTCAAGTTTTAGAAATACTGAATTTTACAAGGTATCTTTGTTTTGTATTCTGTTGCTTTTTTCCTTCCCTGTGTCTTTGTAGCCACTGAATGAATTTTAATTGTTGAAAGCTATGAACTGTCAGTACACCTATGTTTTTTATCCCCTTGGTTTATTATGTGACCAAGGGAGTAAAGAGAAAATTGGAATAACTTAATGCTGAGGCTGCTGCTGGACTTTGAGGCTCCTGGATGCTAAAAATTCCCATGACCCCATAGGGTCAGGCAGATGTGCAGAGGCAGACTTTGTAATGAGACCCCTGCTGGGCAGAACAGCAAGGATGTCCTTCCTAACATGAGTGTGTTTAGACCTGGTAGAATAGGCTCATTCGCTAGAGCATCATCCAAACACATCAAGGTTGTGGGTTCAGTCCCTGATCAGGGTGCGTAGAAGAATCAGTGGGGCCCTGGCTGGGGACTCATTTGGTGGGGAATGTTGTCTTGTTCACCAGAAGGTTTTGGGTTTGATCCCTGGTCAGGTCACATACCTAGACTGCTGGTCTGGTCCCTAGTTAGGGTGTGTACGGGAGGCAGCTGTTCGATGTTTCTCTCTCAGAATTTCCTCTCTCACATAGATATTTTTCTGTGCCCCACTCCCTTGTTTCCTCTCTCTCTGAAATCAATAAACATATCCTCAGGTGAGGATTTAAAAAAAATCAACTAGTGAGTACATAAATAAATGGAGTAACAAATAGATGTTCCTCTCTCTCTGTCTCTCCCTTTCCTCTCTCAAAAATCAATAAATAAAAATAAATGCAAGTGCATTTGATTTAGAATCCTTTATAAAAGTAAAATATCGTCATTCAAATTTTATGTTGAGGAACTGAGTTGTTTTATTAAAAGTTGATTACAATAGCTTTGATTTGAGAATTTTAAAATATTTAAAAAGTCTATTCTGTTATTCTGTTATAGTTCAATTTATGTTTACTTTTGAAAAAACAGCTTATTTTATGAAGCTGGGTTATGTATGTAGTATAAAATATTTCTAATAGATATCTAATATCCATTATATTGACAGTATATATCCATTATATACTCAAGTCATTATATACAAAGTCAATATAATTATTGACTAATTTTAGCATTTTCCTGAAAATGAAATTTCTTATGCTGGGGCCTTTTACTTTTGTGGGTCTTTTATTTTTATTTATTTATTTATTTATACATTTTTAAAATTTTAATTGTTGTTCAAGTACAGTTTTCTGCCTTTTACTCCCATCCCTGCCCACCCCCCAGTGCTCCCCATCTCCCTCCCATTTTCACCCGCCCTAGTTTTTGTCCATGTGTCCTTTATACTTGTTCCTGTTGCTGGGGCTTTTTAAAAAAATATTTATTTCTTTTTAGAGAGAGGGGAAGGGAGGGAGAAAGAGAGGGAGAGAAACATTGATCTGTTGCTTCTTGAGTGCCCCCACCAGGAGACCTGGCCTGCAACCCAGGTGTGTGCCACACCAGTCAGGGTAGGGCATTTTTGTTTTTAAGTAATGATCAGATGGCATTAATGTTACCATAAAAAGGAAGATTAAGATCATATTTTGAAAAGTTCACATTGTTTTACATTGTGTTGTAATTTTTGAATATGTAGATTGTGTGTTTAGATGTGATGGTATATAAATTGATGTTTCAAGCCTTGTATTTCTAGTATAGTTGTTACCTGCTTGTTTGTAACTCTACACACTTATTTTTGTGGAATGTTTTTACTTTTTTACCATTTTTTAGAAGTCTGATATGAAGGCCTGGCTGGTGTGCCTCAGTGGATTAAGCACCAGCCTGCAGACCAAAAGGCTGCTGCTGGTTGGATTCCCCATCAGGGCACACGCCTGCATTGCAGGCCAGGTCCCCAGTTGGGGGCGTGCAAGACACAGTCAATCAGTGTTTCTCTCGCTCTTATTCCCTCTTCTTTCCCCTCTCTCTAAAAATAAATAAATAAAATCTAAAGAGTAAAAAAAAGGTCTGATAGCGCATAGTCTTACCTATTATAAGTCATTTTATGACCCCTGAAACATTGGGAATTTCTTAAGTTTTAAGAGTTTTGAATAATTCTTCTGAGCCTTTATAATCTGTTTTTAACTTTAGGCCACTCATAGAAACTTCTGTTTCTTAAAGTACCTTTCACATTTGTGGATATAATTGATATGGATTAGCGGATAAGAGCATTTTCTCTTTTTCATTTTGATGTGGTTTACCTGTATGTGTATATAGAGGAAAGAGGACATTGAAATGTTTTTTTCTATTTTGAATATCAGCATTGATGTGAACAAGTTCGTATGACTAGAATGGTCTTGCTGCTTTTCAGTGATGTGGAGCCATCTGCACCTGCAGAGGAGCCCCCCATGGTGGAGGAGCCCCCAGACCCCCTGGAGGAAGGGTCTCCAGCCAAGTAAGTGTTTCATTCCCATCCCATTGGGTTCCAATCCCATTGGGTTGTTGGTCTTTTTCTTACTGATTTCTAAGAGCTCTTCACAGAGCAGAAAGCTTATTTAGCCTTTCCTCATATCACAGAGGGTTTATCTACTTAATGTATTAAAGAAAATTAAACTAATTAGCCCTGGCTGGTATGGCTCAGTGGATTGAGCCCTGGCCTGAGAACCAAAGGGTCACGGGTTCGATCCCCAGTCAGGGCACATGCCTGGCTTGCAGGCAGGCCCTCAGTGTGGGGGCATGTGAGAGGCAGCCACACATTGATGTTTAAAAAAAAATAAAAAATGAAAAATAAATTGAACTAATTAATATTCAAATAATCTAATGAATGGTTAGTAATAATAATTAATGGCTTAAATTCAAGCTTTCTGCCCTGTGCCTATGCCTCTTTTCCATCAACAGTCTGTAGTGTGACTAGTCTCTCTCTTGTCATGACCCCTTCTCCTGTCCCTTTATTCTCTCCTCCCTCTTTTCCTTCATGGAGCTAAGGTCTCTGGTCCATCTCTAGCATTCTTGCCAATTCTTAATACTCCTTTGCCCCTTGGATTTTTTGTTGTACCTTGCTAGCAGAATCTGCCTTCTGGGTGACTGCTAGCTATCTCCCTTCCCTCTGCCTGCACCCATAGGCTGAGCACTACACGTCACAGTGGGGCTGACAGGAACCCCTGTAAATTCTTGATCACCAGCCTTCTGAAGTAAGCCCTCAACACTGCCCAGCAGTCTCCATTTCTTGGGTACACTCTTTCTGTCCCCCACTACCATGACTGGCTTAATCCTTTCTGTCTCCTCAAATCTCTGTCACTGCCCCCATTTGCCTAGACCTTCTCTTTCATTTTCTAGATACACCTTTGCCCCTGCATAACAGAGAAATTAGGAGCCACCAGATAGGAGCTTCATCACCTTCCCGCTCCCAAAGGTGCGACCTTGCCTATACCTGTATGCCTTCTAGCGTCCTTGCCTCATGGTGAAAGGGACGTGCCATCTCTCCTCCCTCCTCTTGAGGCTTTGGAGCCTCTTTGTTGCTAACTTCACAGAAATCTCACGCTGTCATGTATCTTCTCCCTCTTTAGTTGTACTCAGGTCCTTCCTCCCAACTCTGGTCTTCCGATCAACATTTTGAAAATTAACATTGTAAACAGCCCTGGCTGGCGTAGCTCAGTGGATTGAGAGTGGGCGGTGAACCAGGCATCGCAGGTTCAATTCCCAGTCAGGGCACATGTCTAGGTTGCAGGCCATGGCCCTCAGCAACCCCACAGTGATGTTTCTCTCTCTCTTTCTCTCTCCCTCCCTCCCTTCCCTCTCTAAAAAAATAAATAAATAAAATCTTTAAAAAATTTAACATTGTAAAAATGCTCAATTTCTCCTGTTTTCTCCTCTTGCCCCACATTCTCAATCAGATAACCTTTTTCAGGTGTGTGTTCTTCATTTTCTCCCTTCTTACTTAATCTTCACTTCACTCTAGGTCTGGCTTTGTTCTCATTGCTTTTCTGAAACAGTCACCACCTGTCTCCAGGCCTAATGAGTGTTTTGGTCTGTGCTGCCCTTGACCTCTCAGAACATCTGACTTTATTAATCTTATTAAGCACACCCTACCATTGGTTTCTGTGATTCCTGAGCTCTCTGGCTTTCCTTCTGCCTCTCAGCTCCTTTGCAGACTTATCTTTGTCTCTCTGACCTTTTAAAATATTGAGTTCTTAAGGGCTCTGCCTTAGATCTTCTTTCCTTTCTGTAGTGTCTTATAGGAACTCACAGACCATGCAATTTGAATTGCCATTTATACACTGACTCTAGGATACATGGCTCCGGGCTCCGAACTTTAGCATGGACTCCAGGCCTGTGTATCCACCTTCCTACTGGACATTTCCCCTTGAGCATTCCCAGTGCTCCTCCTGCACAGCATGTCCACAACTGAGGTTCACATATGTCCAGTTCTCATCAGGTGTTCCATCTTGGGGGACAGCATTGCCATTCAACCAGTTGCAGAGATGAGAGCCTAGGGGTCATCCTTGAGACCTCCTCCTTTTTGATGCCCTTCGTCCCCCAAATCCAGTGTGTCACTCTGCCCAGATGATTGGTATATTTTTGTAATATCCATTACCTTCACTCACCATCATAGTCTCAGTTATTGCCATCTGACCTGTCACTATAGCTCCTAATGGGGCTCCCTGCATGCTCACCTTCTGCCAGCCTGTTGCCACACCAAAGTAGCTTTCACACTGGCAATCTGATTGTTATGCCCTCACACCTTGTGGTAAGACCCCTGTAGTTTCGTGTCCCTTTTCTATTCCTTGTCCTGACCTTCATGGTCCTGTGTAGTATGGACCCTGCAGAGTTACTGTGTGTTCTCTGGGATTGCCAGGTGGCCCTTATTTTATGTTCCCTTCCCCTCACTTGCCATAGGGCTTTTACAAGTAACTGTTTCCTTTTTTTTCTTGTAGCTCTGTTCCAAATCCTCTTTCACCCTTCACTTATTTAACTTTTATTCGTCATTCAGCTTCTAAGGGGCAGGGTTTCTATTGGTTTAAGAATATGGACTCCAGCCTTGGTCGGTGTGGCTCAGTGGTTTGAGTGCTGGCCTACAAATGAACCAAAGGGTTGCCGGTTGGATTCCCAGTCTAGGGCAAATGCTGGGTTGCAGGCCATGTCCCCAGTAGGGGGTGCTCAAGAGACAAATAATTAATGTTTCTCTCCCTCTCTCCCTCCCTTCCCCTTTCTAAAAATAAATGAATAAAATCTTTAAAAGATGAAGAATATGGACTCTAAGCTAGTATGCTGGGTTCAAATCCTAGCTCTGCCACTTACTGGCTTGAGCAAATTATTTACTCTCTGTGTCTCAGTTTCCTTCATGTGTAAAATGGAAGTAATAATAGGATCTACATCAGAGGGTTGTTACAAGGGTTGGTTGGGGGAAACTATATATGTGTTATGTAGAGTAGGACCTGGCACGTCATTAGTGCCATATAAAAATATCTGCTATTTTTATTGTTACTTACTGTAAGAGCAAATTGCTACAATGATTGATGATTTTGAAAGCTATTAACTTATCATTCAAAACAACTAAGAAATAAGTTTAAAGATGTACATTAACAGTTACAATGAACCCTGGCTGGGTGGCTCAGTGGATTGAGTGCCGACCGGTGAACCAAAGGGTCATCGGTTCAATTCCCACTCAGGGCACATGCCTGGGTGGTTGTGGGCCAGGTCCCTAGTAGGGAGCGCACAAGAGGCAACCACACATCAATGTTTCTCTCCCTGTCTTCTTCCCTTCCTTCTCCTCTGTCTAAAAATAATTAAGTAAAATCTTTAAAAAGATCCCTGGCTGGTGTGGCTCAGTGGATTGGCCTGCAAACCAAAGAGTCGCCAGTTCAATTCCCAGTCAGGGCACAAGTCTGGATTGTGGGCCAGGTTTCCAGTAGGGGGTGCACTAGAAGCAACCACATATTGATGTTTCCCTCCCCTTCTTCCTTCCTTCCCCTCTACCTAAAAATAAAAAAAAATAAAATCTTTAAAAAAATTTTAAAAGTTACAATGAATAGCCAGCCAGGAAATCTAGTAGAATCACAGGGGCCACACAGGCAGTCTAGGGGCAGACCATGCCGAGCTCTTGTTTCTGCACTGCGTTGTCAAGTGTTAAAATTGTTACTAAAATCTCTAATTGCACTGTTTCAAGTTTTTGATAATTTCAAAATTAGGCTTGTATGTGAGAAATACACTAAAAAATGGTGATGCTCTCTAATCTGGACTTTGCCTGAATGTTAACCTAACACTCAAGCTTTTGACATTTAGTTAGAGTGTATATTCAGTGCACCTCTTGGTTTAGAACTTCTTGAAGTGTGAATTTAATATGTCAGTCTTATAATTTTGGGTTTTATACTTACATTTCTGATCCATTTTTTAAAAAAGTAATATTTGATCCCTTTTGAGTTGATTTTTTGTAAGTTTTGAGGTATTCATAGAAGTTCCTTCTTTTTGCATATCCAGTCATTTTAGCACACTGAGCACTATTACTGAAAATCAGTTGCCCATGTATGTGTGGGTATATTTCTGTACTTTCTATTTTGTTGGTCTGACTCTATTATACTAATATCACATTATCTTGATTACCCTAAGTCATTTTTTTTCCTTAAGCCACTTTTAATCAATAAATTTTCTCTTTTTTTCCACCCTTGCAATTTATTTGTTTGAGAAACTAGGTCATATGTCCAAAGAGTTTCCCAGGGTCAGAATTGTATTGATGGCATCCCTGTGGGCGGGCAGTGGTGTGCCAATGAATATTCAACGTTTGGTTCTCTGGGATGAAAATCCCACATCTGTTGCACTTGCAGGTTTCTGTAGTGTAAACACTCTTACCATGGCTGATTTAAAACTACCAACATGACATCGCTGAACACAGAGTCGGGGAGAGATATGCAGTACACACCATTATGTAGTATTTCCATTATACACATACAATAGGCATAAGTAACCCTAAGAGCACAGATAAAGGTAAAATGTGCTGAAATAATTAGGGAATAGTGATTTGTGGGTATTATTTAACTTTTTAAATATAGTTAATTATGAGTTTATATCATTTAATTTTTAACAACTGTGTTTAATAGCTGGTTCACAAAATTCCTGGAAATTTATGATGCAAGCCAGTTCCAGCACAGCATTTCCTGTAGAGTACATGAATGTATTTCTCTGTCCCTCATAGTTTGTGTATTTCCTGAAAATTAATAATTGAGAGAGAAAAGTTTGATCAAATTCAGGTTCAACTTTTTGGCAAGGTTGTTTCATAGGTTGTAGAAGATTACCAATTATCATTACATTTATCCATTGAGGCTGCAAATTGGTCATCTAATTTCTGTCATTCTTTATTAGCTGGAAAAGTCTACAGTAGAACTAGTGGGTTGCACGGAGGTAAAAGTTCCTTGTTTATCCATTTTCAGAATGAACTGGTTCCTTAGCATCCTTCAAAGA